AGGAACTCCCCAGGTCGGTAGGTGCCCAATATGCTACTGGAGATCAGTGGAGAAATAACTCCAGAGAGAATGAAGGGATGGAGCCAAAGCAAAAACAATACCCAGTTGTGGATGGGACTGGTGATAGAAGCAAGGTCTGATGCTGTAAAGAGCAATATTGCACAGGAACCTGGAATGTTAGATCCATGAATCAAGGCAAATTGGAAGTGGTCAAATAGGAGATGGCAAGAGTGAATGTCGACATTCTAGGAATCAGCGAACTAAAATGGACTGGAATGGGTGAATTTAACTCAGATGACCATTGTATCTACTCACGTGGGGTAGGCAGGCTTAGAAGCAGGGTAGATGTGACGGCAGGTTAGAAACACATGAGACCAGGAAGAAAACACACGGGTCCTCTTGCGGGAAGGGGTGGGGATCCAAGTGGCTATTCCTAGTGACACTGCCTGTGCCGTGCCAGATGGTCCCAGGAGTTTGGAGAGAGTGGGCTTCAAAACTAGCCACCTGGAATTCATTCCTGGAAAAGAGGCTGCCACTGGAGGCTCCCGCGGTGATTCACCTGAAATATGTTCAGGTGTGTTTTCTTTTTGTGTCGAGCGAAGGATGATGACAGGCAGGCCGCCACCAAGGTCTCTGCTTCTTGGTGGTAGTGGTAATAGGTGGTGGCTCATGGCGGTGTGCCCCACCCTTAGAGACCTCTGGGCAAGTATAAGATTCTGACTGGTGGAGGGAGTAGGGGAAGGTTAATGTGGAGGCAGAAATTCCAAAATGTAGCAACCTGGAGACCATTAGTAAGGCAGAGCTGATGTGACAGTTTCATGTAGGTCAAGAATAAGAGCCTACATACCAATAAAATAATATCTCAAATAATTTTGATTATAATTAAGTCAAGTTCATGGCAAGTTTTTTTAAAAAAGCAAAATACAAGACGTATTAAGAATGTTCAAAATTAATTAAATGCATATGTGTATATCATTCAGAAAAATGTGAATTTTGGTTATACTTGGGCGATTTTAATTTCTGTGTTTATTTTTTCTGTATTTTTTCCAATTAATATGTGTTATTTTATTACCTATGTTTTAAGCCATCTCTTTGGTATTTTCAGACACTTTCTTAAAAACCTTTCCTCATAGTATCTTTCCCCTTTCTTATCACTAAATTCCTGCATGCCTCTCTCATCAGCTTGATCTCCAGACAACTTCAGGAGACCGTGATTGTTATAGAACAACCAGGTCAGCCCAGGAACCTCTTCCTCCTTCTGGCACTAATTCTCAGAACACCCAGTGTTCAAAGGGAGATTCCTTCCTTGTCCCACCTTTGCCTATCACCCCACACGGGACATGCTCACGCAGTGGGAGAGGGGTTTGGGCAGAGTGTGCTGTGAGGGTCTCTGAATGCCGATCCAAAGGCTCTGCACGCTTGGGGCTGTGGAGCACAGAGGCAACGTGACACCTGGCTCCTCTCCCGGTAACTGGGCTCACGGAGCCCGAGCGCCTTGAAAGGCCTGCCTTCAGGGAGTTACCTGACCACTCTGCATTTGAGAAGTCAGCTATGGCCTCCATACAGAAGGACATTGTAAATGTACTCAATTCAATAAGGCATGTACACCAGCTGTGGGTGGTCCTCTAGGTTCCTTTTTCTAGATGCAACCACTGTGACCATCTGATAGATGGCTACTTAATTCACAGGATTTACATAAGATAGGGTAAGTAGGTTAAAAACTCAGGGACTACAGATATTTTCTCTAGGCCTTCCCACATTTTTGACGATCACAAAGACACTTTGTAATGAATATCACATTATAGGACACAAAATCAGGAGATTGCTGATTTTTTTCTTCTGCAAATGTATTTTATTGAAGTATAGTTGATTTACAATGTTGTGATAGTTTCCAGTGTACAGCAAAATGATTCAGTTATACATATATATTCTTTTTCACATTCTTTTCCATTATGGATTATTGAAAAAAGTGAAAAGTGTTAGTCGCTCATCGTGTCTGACTTTTTGTGACCCCAGGGACTGTAGTCTGCCAGGCTCCTCTGTCCATGGAATTCTCCAGGCAAGAATACTGGAGTGGGTTGCCATTCCCTNCTCCTCTGTCCATGGAATTCTCCAGGCAAGAATACTGGAGTGGGTTGCCATTCCCTTCTCCAGGGGAATCTTCCCAACCCGGGGATGGAACCTGGGTCTCTTGCATTGCAGGCAGACTCTTTACCATCTGAGCCAGCATTCTTTTCCATTGTGGTTTATCACAGGATATTGAATCTAGTTCCCTCTGCTCTACAGTAGGGCCTTGTTGCTTATCCATCCTGTATATAACAGTGTGCATCTGCTGTTTGCTGATTTTTAATTCAAATACTTACTAGGCTATCTCCTGCCTCCTCAGTGCCTCTGTGCTGTTTACTGTAGTTGGACAGATTTCCAGACTAACTAGAAAATCTGGAATCTAGACAGGCTCCACAGCAAGGCAGATAACATGTGTATGGTGATTTCCAAGACGAAAAGATTTGCCATCCTGGGCTTCCCTGGTGGCTCAGTGGTAAAGAATCCACCTGTCAATGCAGGAGACCTGGTTTCCATCCCTGGGTCAGAAAGATCCCCTGGAGAAGGAAATGGCAGCCCACTCCAATATTCTTGCCTGGAAAATCCCATGGACAGAGGATCCTGGTGGACTACAGTCCATAGGGTTGCAAAAGAGTTGGAAATGACTGAGTAACTCAATGACAACAATAGCACCCCCTGGGCCCTCTGAGACAGACAGCACAGTGGCCTCTCCTCTGCTCTAAGGCAGCACAGTACAACATGGAGTTACACAGAGAACATGTGCTAGGCAGGCCTGGATTCAGAGCCCATGTCTGTGTTGTGTGACCTGTGTGACCTGGACCGTGATGCTTAACTTCCCTGAGGCTTTTCCCTCTAGTGTAAAATCAAAATAATATCTGCCCCTTAGGGCTGTTGTGGGGATGAAATGGGATCTTATGTGCAAATGGGCTCCCACCAAGGAGGCATGCCCCAGTTTGTTAAACAACTTTATGATCCACTGAAAATCCAGAGATGACCTCCCCTAAGAGCAACTTACATGACTGGCCCCATCTAACTCTAAGTAGCATCAGTGTCTGCTGGCCTCCAAGGATGAGTCTCCATCTTCCTGTTTGGATTAGTAACATTTTCAGATCTACCCTAATTATTTTCACCCCACTTAATCCCTCACCCACTAGATTCTATGAAACTAACCCTGGCATGTTCCCACCTCTATTCCTTACATGATTTCACAGCACTGCCATCTACTCTGACACCTAAACCAGAGCCTGAGTATTCTCTTAGGCTTCTTTTTTCTTGGTTCTTTCTTTTTCTTGTTTTTTTTCCAATTCCAATTTTGCTTAATTCTTGTTTTTTTTTTTTTTTGCATTTTTTCATTTCCCTTTTAGGACTTCGGACCCACTTTTTTTTTGGGTTTTGCCCCCTAACTGTCTCTGGATTATTTGCTTCTTAAAATCATATTCTAGACTTTCTATTCATAATCTCCTGGAGCAGGAGTGATAAATCCAAAATTTCCCTGTGTTCTTCC